CCCAACCCTCACATGCCCCATGCCCGCTGCCCCCGTCCACCCCTCCCGCACCCGACCAGGGATATCGGCGGCGAAAGGCTGGCATGCGGCGGCAGGTCGGCACCGCCCCGACGATCCCACCCCAATGATTCCCACCCCCGCCCACCTGAAACGCCACTTGGCGATTCCGCTCAACAAGTTCCCCTGATGATGCAATCCTCCGCCGCTGCAATGCAACCCACTTGCCATCTTTCCCGTAGCGGTCGCCATCGTCCTGGAAAGACCTGCCGACCGCACTCCTGTCCCCATGTGCCAAGAAGTCACGAGCAACCCTGAGCAAGGCCGCGTTCGCAAGCGGGGTCCCAGGTGACAAGAAAGGGAACTGCCTGACGGTAGAGTGCACGAGCGCCCCCATATCGCAAGTTGGAACGGGCAAGAGCGGCTCCCTCGGACACACCACGATCGCATGCGGGACCACGGGAAGTTTTGGAGGCGGCGCCTTGGGGGGCTTGCGGCGGCGAGCTGGAACGACAACAGCAGGCGCATCATCGACGGCGGCCTCGTCATCTGAGCTCGGGCCCGCGTCCGCATCCAGAACCTGCCTCAAAAGCGACGGCCGCCCCCGCTTCCTCTTGGGAGGCATGCGGGCCGCGCGAAAACACGTGAGGCCATCGCCGAAAACCCTCCTCAGAGCTCGAGCAAGACTGGCTCAAGAAACATTGCCAACGTTGTCAAATGTCTGCATCCGCAGTGCTTCGATTACCGAATGTGTGATCCCGAGGATGCGTCTGCGCCCGTCGCATCTGCCCCACCCCGCCGATCCCCCTCGGTGCGGCGCCACAATCGCCCATTCGAGCTGCGCCCAGCCATGGCGACGGGATATATTCAGGCGGAAAGAAAAACATAACATCACCCAGCAACCAATCGTAGATGCACGCAGAACTGTCAGAACATGACCCCATCCTTTCTCACCCCGCCAAGATACCCCGCCACCCTCCCCTCCGATGCCAGCCTTTGTAAATACATGCGCCATCCCTGCCAATACGTAGTGCTTTCCTCCTTCCCACCTCCTCCCTCTTACCTGATCCACCCCGCCTGTGCCGACCATCCCAATGAACGAGCCACAAGCGCGATACAGGCCACGAGGAAGGCGATTTCCTGTGGGGGCTTCACCTCAGAAAAACACCAACGAATAGAATGCACACTAGATCTTTCGTCGACCTAGAGGGAACACGTCGGATGCACGCGAGATTATTCGTGAGAAAGCTGTCGCTGCAGACTACTTCGGCGAAACCACCGCGGAGTACATTGCACACTACTTACGGAGTAAAATATTCGATATGTGAATGTGGCTCCTGTAGAGGGACGGGAAAGTATAACGCTAGCAGACGAGAGCCTCGAATCTGCGTCACTGAGGCGGCGAAAAGACGGATCCGCGCGTCAATCGCAGAAATGGCAGGATTGCCAGCCAGGGCGGCGAAAACGGAATCAACGCGGGGACGCGTCAAGACTGCGTCGGCCACGTCCCTGGCGCCAGGGCGGCGAAAAGCTGGTTCGGCGCGAGCGGGAACAACGTCATGAGCGGAACGCATCAAAACTGCATCGGTTGAACCCCATACACATAGGGCGGGAAAATCGCGAACGTCACAACCTCAGGTCCACGCAGGCGGAGCGCGGGGCCGGGCCCAGACCGGGGGCCTGGGGACGCGACGGACCGGGCGAACGACGGGGCGTCGGGCTGGGCGCGGGGCGAGGCGCAGTGCTCAGCGACGCGCTGGGTGCAGGGCGAGGCTTTGTATGGCGGGCCCGTTCGCTGCCACTGCTTTCAACCTTCTCGCTCGCTGACTTCCGTCCGCACTGTGGCTGATCGCGCAGAGCTCCCATGGTGATGCTGGCGTTTCGCTGTGCGGCCGCCACTGCTGTCCTTTCGCGCGGGCGTTGATCATGCCACTGCATCTAGCCCCGTGCTGGCACCCGCGGACCTCCGCACTGTAGATGATCGCGTTGAGCTCAGCCTGGCCAGCATCGCTGAAGCCGGCGCTGCAGCTGATAGCGAGAAAGCCGCAGTCGCCGATCCCTGCGCTGTAACAAATCGCGTCGGGTATCGCCTCCGACGCCACGTGCTGCGCGACATGCGTGGGGCTGGGCAGCTTCTCGGTCTCCGCCGCGCGCTCGGCCTCCAGCCTGACCAAGCGATCGACCTCCGACAAGCAACGGGCCCGCGCCAGGCGCACGGACTCCACTCCAGCGTATTACTCGGCCACCGACGCGCGCTCGGCTTCCGGCCTGGCCCGCTCGGCTTCCGGCCAGTCGTCCAGCCTCCGCCACGCACTCGGCCTCCAGGCCAAACAGCGTGCTCCGCCGTCGCCGCACGCTCGGCATCCAGCGCGGGGAAGCGCGCGGCCGCGGCCGCAACTCACCTGGCGACCGCGCGGCAGCCACACGGGCGAGGGCGGCGGCTGCTGACCAGAACCCAGCAGCGGCCGTTGCCACGGCAGCGGCGGCCGCGGCGCAGGCGGCAACCGCGGCGGACACCGCGCCCGAACGCGGGGCAGCCCCCAGCGCCAGCGGCGCCAGCGACAGCGGCACCAGCTCCACCAGCAGCACCCGCAGCACTCGCGGCGCGGGGGGCGCGCGCGGCAACCACGGCGCCGGAAACGCCTGCGGCAATGGCAGCGCCAGCGGCCCCAGCGGCGCCCGCGGCGCCTGCAGCAGCTGCTGCGCCCTCGGGCCAGGCACCAACGGCGGCCGCGGCGCGTCCCGCGGCGACCGCGGCGCGGGCGGCGCCCACAGTGCGTGCGGCGCTGGCGGCGCACGCAGCACACGCGGCGAAAGCGAGGCCAGGAGGGCCACGTCTCTGGCGACGCCAGCGCAGCGGCGCCAGAACCATGGGCGACGGCCGCGGCGCCGGCGGCACGGGCGGCGACCAACAGCTAGCGCCGCCGCCGCGCTGTGGCGCTCCTCGTGGGGTCGAGGGGGATGGGGACCGGGAGGGAGGAGAGGGGCTCTGTCCCAACACCCTCCGGGCGAACCGGAGGCGGGTGGCCGCCTCCGGCCCCGCGGCGCGCCGCTGCGGCTCTCTCGAGCCAGGGCAGCTTGAGCCGAAGGCTACGGAACTAACCCTTCCACACAAGCTGATTAGGACAAAACCGCGACCTTGAGGAATAAATTCCCCCAGCCTTCAGGCGACCGCCGCTCGTACAAGGCTTGGTCAAATTTTCAGAAATACATTTGGCTGCTGCCTGGACTGCGCGGGTGCGCGGGACTGATTGCTGCATGGAGAGCGGGAGGAGAGATGTACAGAATTATCCCAGTGCGACCCTACCTAGGAGTTGGAGCCCCTAGGAAAGCAGCTTTAGCAGTAACAGTAAAACTAAGCTAAAGCTAAGCTAAAGCTAAGCTAAAGCTAAGCTAAAGCTAAGCTAAAGCTAAGCTATAGCTAAGCCACAGCTAAGCTAAAACTAAGTTCAAGCTAAACTCAAGCTAAACTGACGCTGAGGTACAGCTAAGCTAAAGTTGAGCTAAAGCTAAGCTATACCGAAGCTAAAGCTAAAGCTAATATACAGCTAAGCTAACGTTAAGCTAAAGCTAAGCTAACGCTAAGCTAAAGCTAAGCTAAAGCTAAGCTAAAGTTAAGCTAAAGCTAAAGCTAAAGTCAACGCTAAAACTGAAGCTCCCAAGGGACGGGGGGAACCGCGGGGCGGGGACCGGGGGAACCGCCCGGGGCGTGTAGCACTGCCCGGCCCCTTTAAGCTAAGAGAGTAAGAACCCTCTAGGCAGAGCCTACGTAGGGAAAAAGCCTGAGCACAAAATTATCCCAGTGCGACCCTACCTAGGAGTTGGAACCCCTAGGAAAGCAGCATTAGTAGTAACAGTAACGCTAAGCTAAAGCTAAGCTAAAGCTAAGCTAAAGCTAAGCTAAAGCTAAGCTAAAGCTAAGCTAAGGCTAAGCTAAAGCTAAGCTAAAAGCTAAAGCTAAGCTAAAGCTAAGCTAAGCTAAGCTAGCTAAGCTAAAGCTAAGCTAAGCTAAGCTAAAGCTAAGCTAAAGCTAAGCTAAAGCTAAGCTAAAGCTAAGCTAAGCTAAAGCTAAGCTAAAGCTAAGCTAAAGCTAAGCTAAAGCTAAGCTAAAGCTAAGCTAAGCTAAAGCTAAGCTAAAGCTAAGCTAAAGCTAAGCTAAAGCTAAGCTAAGCTAAGCTAAAAGCTAAGCTAAGCTAAAGCTAAGCTACAGCTAAGCTAAAGCTAAGCTAAAGCTAAGCTAAAGCTAAAGCTAAAGCTAAAGCTCCCAGGGGACTGGGGGGAACCGCTCCCAGGGGACCGGGGGAACCGCCCGGGGCGTGTAGCACTGCCCGGCCCCTTCAAGCTAAGAGAGTAAGAACCCTTCTAGGCGGAGCCTAGGTAGGGAACTAGCCAGTAATGCGCGGGGTTGAGGTCGATAATGAGAACATTGCGCCGTAGAGAGGACATCCGAAACATTGAAAACGAATACGCGTACCCAACATATCTTCAAATTCTGCCCCCGCAACAATAGAAGAAACTACAACGCCCAGCGCATGACCGACTGAGATCGAATGCTCTCGGGAGGAGTGGCTGGCCGAGAAAGACCCCTTAACACTAAGGACGGATGGGACGAAGTTGCACTCAGTGGCGACCCGAGCAGCCAGGCACCTGTAGGTATGGGCGGTGGTCGCACGCTCGGGTCATCACACACCGAATGTTGAACCCGACGCCGGGGAAACGTGAGAACACGTCAAATCGACAGAAGTCAGGACACGGAGGAGGACGAGAAACAGAGGAAGGCGAGGGGGAAATTGGGAGAAAACATTCCAGAATGCGGCAGTAGGTTGGGACTGGGGCCCGCGCAGTGAGAGCGCACACTCCGCATCCCATCCCAATAATCCTGGGGCGGATTGCGCGCGCACGCTCGAAAGCCCCCCCCCGCTCCCCATATCATTTCCTCTCCTGGACCCTCGCCCGTCTCCCCCGACCCCTCCCCATCTCTCACCATCCCCTCCCTCGCGAGCCTTGAGCCCAGGATGTAGAGGAGGCGCTGCTCCCCGCCCGCTCGTCTTGGTTGCCTCGCTTGCCGCGCCTGTCCGGCATCGAGCCGTCACTCTTTGATACGTAGCGCCTGGCGGCGGCACCGGCCCCACTTTCTCCTCCTCACCTTGCCCGGGGGAGGTGGCTGAAATGGAGGAAGGAAAGAGAAAGAGCCGAGCGTCCCCAAGAAGGCCCCATCCATCATCACCGAAGAGCTCAAGCGTGGTCCCGACAGAATGCATCAACGCAGGCGTGCGGCGAGATCCCCCGCACTGCGTGGGCGGTCAGCTGCGAGAGGTGCAGCACGTGCAGCACGGAAGAGATCGGCCGCCTCAGAGTGCAAGGGCACCCGTCTCCCATCCGCGCAATCATGCAGATTCTCCAAACAGTGCTTGCACTGGGGTTCTTATTTGGCTTAAGCATCTCTGCGCGAGTGGCGGGTTTTGATGGCGGTGCCGCCCGTCGCAGCCGTCGCCGTCGCCGTCGCCGTCGCCGCCGCTCGGGGCGAGTGACGGCTTTTGCGGGCGGTGCCGCCCGTCGCCGCCGTCGCCGTCGCAGTCGTCGTCGACGCCGCTCGGAGCGAGTGGCGGTTTTTGCGGGCGGTGCCGCCCGTCGCCGCCGTCGCCGTCGCATAGGTTCTTCTTTCTAAAAAACTAGACTCTACCCCCCCCCCGGCGTTATCGGTCCCCCTTTCGGATATGTAAATCATACATGAGTATGACCACATGTCCATCCTGAATATGAATTTACACTATCCCAGGGGGGCCGGTATCGCTCCCCCTGGTGTTCCCTTGTAAAAAACAATGCGCGCGGACATCTTTTGTTCTTACATAAGACTTTTTCGCGAATCCCTTCCAAAAAAAAGACGATGTGCACACGCGCGCGTCGTCGCGCGCGCATGCCGAAATCCTTCAAAAACCTTCGGTGCCGGAAGGATTTCTCAATCGAGCTTCCAAAAAACATATAAAAATACATGGTTTCGCAACACTGATTTGCTAAAAGAGCTTGCGCGCGAGCTCTTGCGAAATCTTAAGAAAACCATTGCTTTTTTCAAGATTTTGACAAAATGCTACCAAACGGGCTTCGCGCGCGCGCATGTCGAAATCTGTCGAACGCCCTTGCGCGTGTGCCGTCGCGAATCCTCTGCAAAAGATGGGACGAAGTGCAGACGCGCGCGTCTTCGCGCGCGTATGCCGGAATCCTTCAAAACCCATTGGCTTCGAAAGGACTTCAACATCGTGTGTCCAAGAAAACCTACAAAAACACAAGGTTTCGCAACACGGACTCTCAACAAAAGCGTGCGCGAGCGCTCTTGCGTCGTCGTCGTCGTTGTCGTCGCCATCCTCCCTCCTCCCTCCTCCCGCGCCATCGTCGCCTACGTCGTCCTGTCTTTCCTCGTGTTCGTCGTCGTCGTCCTCTTTGGCGTCATGGTCGTTTCCGTCGTCGTTGTCGCCGTGGTCGTCCTTCCTCCTCCTCCCTCGTCGTCGTCGTCGTCCGACGTCGGCGTCTCGTCGTCGTCCCCCCTATTTCGTCGCAGTCGTCGTCGTCGTCGTCGTCGTCGTCGTCGTCGTCGTTGTCGTCGTAGTCGTCTTCCCTCCTCCCTCGTCGTTGTCGTCGTCGGCGTCGCCGTCCTTCCTCCTTCTTCGTCGTTCGCGTCGTCGCCGTCCTCCCTCCTCCCTCGTCGTTGTCGTCGATGTCGTCGTTGTCGCCGTCGTCGTCCTCCCTCCTCCCTCGTCGTCGTCGTCGTTGGCGACGTCGTCGTCTTCGTCGTCGTCGGCGTCGGCGTCGTTGTCGTCGTCGAAGTCGTCGGATACGTCGTCGGTGTCGTCCTCCCTCGTCGTTGTCGTCGATGTCGTCGTTGTCGGCGTCGTCGTCCTCCCTCATCCCTCGTCGTCGTCGTCGTTGGCGACGTCGTCGTCGTCTTCGTCGTCGTCGGCGTCGGCGTCATCGTCGTCGTCGTCGATGTCGGCGTCGTCGTCGTCGCCGCCGTCGTCGTCGTCGTCGTCGGCCTTCTTGCTTCTCCGGCCTTCTTGGGGCGCTCTTGAGGCGCCCCCGAGGGCTCCAAGACGACCCCGTCGCCATCGTCGTCCTCCCTCCTCCCTCGTCGTCGTCTTCGTTGGCAACGTCGTCGTCGTCTTCGTCGTCGGCGTCGGCGCCGGCGCCGTCGTCGTCGGTGTCGTCGTCGTTGTCGTCGTCGTCGTCGTTGTCGTCGTCGTCGTCGGAGACGTCGTCGGTGTCGTCGTAGTCATTGTCGTCGGTGTCCTCGTAGTCGGTCTTGAGAGGTTTTGCAAATCAAGTTGCGGTTGGGTGGGTGGGATGTTTGCAAGAGCATGGGTTGTGTCAAATCGTATGTAAAAACAAATTGCATCACATAGATTGCAACACGTAGAGTCTCCGTTATTATTATTATTATTATTATTATATATATGACTATGAATATATATACATACATACATATATATATATATATTAAAAAACTCTACCCCCCCGGCGTTATCGCCCCCCCTTTCGGGTATGTAAATCACATATGATTATGACCACATGTCCATCCGAAATATGAATTTACACTATCCCAGGGGGGCCGGTATCGGCCCCCTGATGTTCCCTTGTAAAAAGAAAACCAAAAAAATACGCGGGGACATCTTTTGTTCTAACATAACACTTGTTCACGAGTCCCTTGCGAAAAAATATGACGAAGTGCACGCGCGCGCGTCGGTGCCGGAAGGATTTCGCAATCGAGTTTCCAAAAGACATACAAAAACACAGGGGTTCGCAACACTGATTTGCTAAAAAAACTTACGCGCGAGCTCTTGCGAAATCTTAAGAAAACCATGGGTTTTCAAGATTTTGACAAAATGCTACCAAACGGGCTTCGCGCGCGCGCATGTCGAAATCTGTCGAACGCCCTTGCGCGTGTGCCGTCGCGAATCCTCTGCAAAAAGATGGGACGAAGTGCAGACGCGCGCGTCTTCGCGCGCGTATGCCGGAATCCTTCAAAACCCATCGGCTTCGGAAGGATGTCAACATCGTGTGTCCAAAAGACCTACAAAAACACAAGGTTTCGCAACACGGATTTTCAACAAAAGCGTGCGCGCGCGCTCTTGCGTCGTCGTCGTCGTCGCCGTCCTCCCTCCTCCCGCGTCGTCGTCGTCGTCGCCTACGTCGTCCTCTGTTTTTCCTCGTGTTCGTCGTCGTCGTCCACCTTGGCGTCGTGGTCGTTTCGGTCATCGTTGTCGCCGTGGTCGTCCTTCCTCCTCCTCCGTCGTCGCCGTCGTCGTCGCCGCCGTCGTCGTCGTCGTCGTCCTCCTATTTCGTCGCCGTCGTCGTCGTCGTTATCGTCGTCGTCGTCTTCACTCCTCCCTCGTCGTTGTCGTCGTCGGCGTCGCCGTCCTTCCTCCTTCTTCGTCGTTCGCGTCGTCGCCGTCCTCCCTCGTCGTTGTCGTCGTTGTCGTCGTTGTCGCCGTCGTCGTCCTCCCTCCTCCCCCGTCGTCCCGTCGTCTTCGTTGGCGACGTCGTCGTCGTCGTTGTCGTCGGCGTCGGCGTCGTCGTCTTCGTCGTCGTCGACGTCGGCGTCGTCGTCGCCGCCGTCGTCGTCGTCGTCGTCGTCGTCGTCGTCGACGTCGTTGACGTCGTCGTTGTCGTCGTCGTCGGTGTCGTCGTTGTCGTCGTCGTCGGCGTCGTCATCGTCGTCGTCGTTGTCATCGTCGTCGTCGTCGTCGTGGTCGTCGGTGTCGTCGTCGTCGTCGTCGTTGCCGGCGTCGTCGAAGTCGTTGGAGACGTCGTCGGTGTCGTCGTAGTCGTTGTCGGCGGCGTCGTCGTCGTCGTTGTCACTGTCATCGTCGGCGTCGCTGTCGTCGCCAAGTGCTGGTACCCACCGTCACGGTCTTAACAGATTTTGCAAACCAAGTTGCGGGTGAGTGGGTGGGATGCTTGCGCGAGCAGTGGAGTGGACAACTCACTGCGAACAGAAATTAATTCTCCTTTCTAAAAAGAGAATAGACTCTACCCCCCCCAGACTTATCGCCTCCCCCTGGGATAGTACGATTTCATATATATATATATATATATATATATATATATATATATATATATATATATTCCGCACACTCGCCCATCCTAAATATGAAATGATACCATCCCAGCCAGGCCGGGTTCCCCCCCCGGAGGCTCCCTTGTAAAAAAACACTATGCGGTGACATTTGTTGTTCTAACATAACACTTTTTCGCGAATCCCTTGCAACAAATGGGACGAAGTGCACACGCGCGCGTCGTCGCGCGCGCATGTCGAAATCCTTCAAAAACCTTCGGTGCCGGAAGGATTTCGCAATCGAGCTTCCAAAACAAATCATACAAAAACACATGGTTTCGCAACACTGATTTGCTAAAAAAGCTTCCGCGCGAGCTCTTGCGAAATCTTAAGAAGACCATAAGTTTTTTAAAGCTTTTCACAAAATGCTACAAAACGGGCTTCGCGCGCGAGCATGTCGAAATCAGTCGAACGCTCTTGCGCGTGTGCCGTCGCGAGAATCCTCTGCAAAAAATGGGACGAAGTGCAGACGCGCGCGTCGTCGCGCGCGTATGCCGAAACCCTTCAAAACCCATCGGTTTCGGAAGGATTTCAAAATCGTGCGTCCAAAAAACCTACAACAACCGAAGGTTTCGCAACACGGACTCTCAACAAAAGCGTTCGCGAGCGCTCTTGCGTCGTCGTCGTCGTCGTCGTCGCCGTCCTCCCTCCTCCCGCGTCGTCGTCGTCGTCGTCGCCTACGTCGTCCTCTGTCTTTTCTCGTGTTCGTCGTCGTCGTCCTCTTTGGCGTCGTGGTCGTTTCAGTCGTCGTTGTCGCCGTGGTCGTCCTTCCTCCTCCTCCCACGTCGTCGTCGTCGTCCGTCGTCGGCGTCTCGTCGTCGTCCCTCCAATTTCGTCGCCGTCGTCATCGTCGTTGTCGTCGTCGTCTTCCCTCCTCCCTCGTCGTTGTCGTCGTCGGCGTCGCCGTCCTTCCTCCTTCGTCGTCGTTCGCGTCGTCGCCGTCCTCCCTCCTCCCTCGTCGTTGTCGTCGCGTCGTCGTTGTCGCCGTCGTCGTCCTTCCTCCT